GCACCAAAATGTTAGGGGTTTCTGGTGCAATAGAAAGCAAAGGAAAGAGAAAGTGGCCTTTATTGAGGAAGAGCCCATGATCCGCAGGGGTTTGGCTTTTCCTTTGACCAGATACACAGTGGGGGGAGGGTTCTATGACCTCTGATCAGAAGCAGCACAGAGGCCGGGCTTTGATGATGTGTGAGGAACTGATTGGAATTCTCTTTGCACACACGGGAAATGAAGTTGTAATCAAAGCTGAAGGGGAAGAAGGAGGAAGCGGTTGTGAGGGTGTTTTTGTTTTGGCCTTCCGCCATGTTAGACCACTGCTATAATGTACAGTAATTTATAATAGGGCAAGAACCTTTCACTGGCCACCATGCTAGGCTATGACAGAGCAAAAGCAGGCTGTCCCTGTGGAGCAACCAGGGCAGTGGGCAGGAGGCACTGGGCAGGGAATCGCAGACAACATGTAATTAATACCTGTTCGCTGCTCCCAGAAAACACACCAAAGTCTCCCTCTCCTGGTAGTGCCCTGAACAGGAACTGCAAGTCAGTGAACGCCAGGATGGGATCCTGGCCATGCAAAGGCCCTGTGGTGCCATGGAGGATATATGTTGTGGCTTCCTTCCAGAAGCTTCCAGAGTTCTTTAGTAGCTTCTGTTGCCCTCTACATGAATCCCGACCTTCTTGGTCTGTGTCTGAGAAGTGTCTGTAGATCTTTGCTGCGGTGCAGCTCATTAGGAATGCAAGTCCCAAGGCTGCGGGTTTAGCTCAGTGGCACAAGGACTTGCCTGGTAAGCGTGAGGTCGTTTGATAGCTGGTTAAAAAAAAAAAAAGTATGCAAGTCCCAGAAAACTTTATCCAGCAGCGTTTTTTAGAGTGCCAGACATCGCTAGGTCTGGGTGACAATACAGGGCCAGACCAAGGCTCCTCTGCTTGGGCTTGGCTGTGAGAGGCCAGCAGGGCCTCCCTGGAGTGGGACACTCAGAAGACAAGGCTGGCTGGGCTTGAGCTGGGCAGTCAGTGGCTGCAGCTCAAGGCCCAGCTCTTGCTTTTCTCCGGATATCCTCTAGATGGCGCAAGGGGACCAGGCATGGGCCCAGGGCTCACCAGTCCACAGTCATCCACACCTATACCTGGCTGAAGGAAGCATGGCTGAGGAAAGTCCTTGAGCCCTGGGAGACAGGGCAGTTGGCCTGACCTGAGCCCCCAGCACAGTCCACTGGGCCTGCCCCTGAGCCAGGTGGAGGAGGCAGGAGGGCAGAGTGGCCTGGGCACCAGCACGCCACTGTCCTCATCAGCTGGCCCTGTACCCACTGTCCTGTACTTTGAGGCCAGGGTAGCCTCTCTTTCAAGTGGCAGCCCCTGCTGGCCACCAACTCCTTTTTCCAAAAGCAAGGGGTTCCTAGGCCAGCTCTGAAAAGAGCGAGGAAGGCGCCCTGCCACACCCGAAGCCCAGTGGGACCAACAAGGTCTTAAGACAGGCCTCTCAGGCCTGGTTGTTACTTGACTGACACCAGGGCTGTGCATAGGTTTGAGAAAGGCCAGGTACCTTCCGGTGGCCATGGCATGCCAACCTTTTCCTCCTGCCTTAGGTGCCAAGACACACTCTGTCCCTGAGTCCCCAGCATATTGCACTTTACACAATCCTGGATCTGACTGCCTTGTCATTCTGTCTTTGGCAAGCAGTCCTCATCCACCAGGTATCTCTGAACAGGGGCTCTGGAGCTCCGTCCCCAGGCAGCCCAGGGTTTGGGGAGCCTGGGAGCCTGTGCAGGTGCCCTGGGATTTACCTTGGGACAGTTCAGTCCTTTCAGCTGTGGTTGGTTCCTTCATCCCCTGCCACCCCACTTCCTAGCAGCCACTGCAGCAGAGTGCATGCCTGGTGGCCCGAAGGGCAGGGATTATTTGCCACTCTTATTTCTCGTTCATTTATGTACAGCAATTCAAAAAGTGTCCCTGTCCTGGCCACTTCGGGGTATCTTCAAGGAGTGTGGCCATATGACATTTGATCCCCTGAATTGGATGCCAGGCCAGAGGAGGAGAGCTTCTGCTTCGTTTCTCTCCAGCAATTAGAAATCCCACTGGAATCCTAGCCCGATGGTTTCTCAGAGGCCTCTGGACTCACACATGAAGCTGCTGTCCCTGGTCTCCATCCTGCTGGTGTTTTTGAGGACAGGTGGGAAAGTGGGGTTCTGGGTGGTGGGCATGTCACTCACAGGAGCCTTGGTTTGCAAAGCTGAGAAGTGGGCATCCTGACCGTGGTTTCTTCTCAGAGTCACGGCGGGGTGGGAACAGGAGTGGCTGCTCGGAGACTGCAGTGGCCGGGGCCCAGTGCTGTCACACTTCACCTTAAGTTGGTATCACAGTAATGGATGACTAGTATCCAAGTCCTACGTGACCTCATAGGTCAAATGGAAGGGGCTCCCCGCTGCCCACAGAGGCCCAGAGAAAAGTCACTGTTGTATGCGCCTCTGGTTGTGTTTGCTTTGTGTTTGTGCCACGGGCTCTAGCCACACTTCTTGTGTTTCAACCTGGATCATGTTCTCGGACCCTCCCCATGCCACCCCTGCATCCTCTCTCAGGAAACCCTTTTCTCCTGGGCAAGGCAGGAGTCTCACTTTCCCCCTGGCTCTGTTTTCTGTCTCTTGGGGCTGTTATTTCCTGGGACCCATCCTCGCCTCCTGGCCTTGTTCATTTTTCCTTTGTTCTGACTCATATCCTGGTCATGGGGCCACATCCCCCACTCAGCACGGGCAGAGCTGTCACTCGAAGTTGCTGGTTGAGCAAGTCTCTGTATGTCCTCCTGGGCTTCACGGTGGGGACAAAGCCTGTTTGTCACTCTGCTGTCCAGCAGTTTCTGGAATTCCATCTCATGGGTCGCAGGTCATGGATCCTCTTCCTTCCAGAAACCCTGCTGCTGTCTGGGGCCCAGGTTCTCCCAGCCTGTCTGCTGGTCTCCAGTGCCAGCTGGCCTCCAGACCTATCCTCCCGGACCCCTGGCAGTGATTCCTGCACGTTGCTCACAGTCACAGTGAGGAGTCTGTCACTGTGGACATCTGTCCCCTGTGCAGCTGGGCAGTGCCTGCTTCTGCTCAGCAGCGGTCCTGCCTGTCCCTTCCACCCAGTTGCCGGATGCTGATTTGAGCCAGGCAGAGCCTAGGGTCACATTCTCATCTACAGCAGGCTTTGTGTTGGACCTTAGGTCACAGCTCTGAGTTTTACAACTGGCTCAGGTGTCAACCAGGGGACACCAGTGGGCAGATGTTAGTCATTGCTCTCCAGTGGCCCTCAGTGAGAGCTACCCTGGTCCCCAACTCTAGCTGGTCAGCAAGCTCTGGGTATCAAGTTCCCTCTTGCAACTCTGGCTGGGTGACTGGGTGGCTGTGACAGCTTCCGTGGATTCCAGTATGTCCCATAGAAGACTTATCAGAGCACTCATGGTGTCATTGTTGGATTAAGAACACACAGTACCTTCCCTCCCTGAGGCCTGGAGACTCCATGCGGTCACACTGCTCCTTCCCTGTCTCTCCTGCCCTGTGCGCTCGCCATCTTTTCTGCCCTGTGCGCTGACTCTTTCCTCTGAAGACACAAGGGACTCCCTTGGGGAGGGGCACTGCTCAGCCAGTGGGGCACCTCTACAGGGATCAGACGAATGGCTCCAACAGCAGGAGCCATATCCTCATCATCTCGGTGGCCAGAAGTCCAAAGTCAATGTGTGGCAGAGCCAATTCCCTGGTAAAGCCACCTTCTGCATGTCTGTGTCCTGATCTCTTCTTCAGTAAAGGACCCCCATGAGACTGGATGACCATCACCCCAGTGATCTTGTTTAATCCTAAATTACCTCCTTGAAGCCCTGTCCCCAAACACAGTCTCATGGGGTTGAAGTCTAGCTAGGATGCACCACTGTACATGCCTTCCTCATGCCCTGAGGCATGTCTGCCTGTGACTTCTGACCCTTTCCATCTCTTTGATCTTGCTGTGATTGTTCCCATCATGGCCCAGCCGCCTAGGCAGAGACAAGGCTTCATGACTCAGGTCCGCTGACTGATGGAGGTCCTTGGAGAGGGGTAAGGTGCCTTCCCCTCCCAAGCTGATGTCTTAAGACTCCTGGGCTGTGTAACCCTGACAGCTGACAGCTAGGACTCAGGCCCGCATCTGTATCCACCTCCTCCAGTTTGGAATGGTGGAGCAGGGTCTTTCCCAGAGGTTGCCTGGCAGGGAGGAGTCAGAGCAGCTGAGTAGCCTGGGCCTGGGGTGCTGGGCCCTGCACTGAGGAGCAGGTGGACTTGAAGCCTTGTTACCTCTCACTCCTTCTGGCCTGGGGATATCTCTCTGCTAGTCTGGAGCTGCAGAGCCCATACCTGAGCCACTCAGGAACTCAGGGGTGGGGCCTCTGTGCGCTTCCCAGGCTCCTGCGGTTTCTGGCACTGGCTTTGCAGGTCCAGCCGCCTGAATGGGCTTTGCAACCAGACAGCTCTCCTGCCTGCTTCCCACCCATAAGATGGGAAACACAAAGCCACCGCTCACCACAGCTAGGCACCCGGGAAGAAGTTCCACCACACCCGCTGCCCAGGGTCCTCCTGACTCAGGCAGTGTGTGAAAGCCCTCTGCCTCCCTGTCCCACAGGGTGGCATGGTGCTGCTCTCTGCTCTCTCCTCAGCCCTTGGCCCTCTGTTTTTGTTTTTGTGATGCTGAGGATTGAACTCAGGGCCTCTTTACTCAGCCACATCTCCAGCCCTTCTTACTGCTGTTTGAGACAGGGTCTCATTAAGTCAGTAAATTGCCCAGGCTAGGCTTGGAGGGTATCCGTGCCTCTGGATACTCCAGGTCTCATCACATTCTGTTTACCCCACGGCTTAGCAGACAGCTCCCTCTGCAGCCCCACAGGCTGTGGGCTCTGGGCCACTTGGGCACTGCAGAAGTTGGGGCTCTTCCATGCCTGGCTCCAGGCCTGGTTCTCTGGGACGGAGGGCAGGGGCTGGGTTGAAGGCCACACCCCAGGGAGGCTGCAAACACACGCTTGCCATATCTTTATTGCACTTTTACCACATTGCAAACTATCACAAAAATGCTGTGAAGGTACCCTACTGCTCAGTGCCCGCCGACCCCACGTGATGGGTTTATGCCAACAGTCCAAAGCAAAGCCACGATGAGTGGCACTGCCACCACAGGAAGGCCCAGTCTTTGCTGGGCTGTTTCTGCTTCACAGAGCTCACTTGGGCCCTTCTGTCCAAGCACAGGCTGTGCCGTCTGTCTACAGCCTCTGTCCCAGACAGGCCTCTCTCACCTCAAAGTGCTGAGGCCCTGGAGCGGGGAGAAAGGAGTTTTCATTTTGAATGAGGTCCAGAGCATGAAAACGCATTCAGTGTCACGGTGACCCCGCTGGGCAGGAGCCACAGGACGGTGAGGCGGGCCTGCTCCGTGCAGTTGCCTATTTGTGCACATGTGAGCCTCACATAAATCCCAACCAGAGCTCAGCAGAGGCCTCCTTGCCCTGTGGAAGGATGGGTTGTTCTGTCCGGGAGCACACGCAGTGCTTCCTCCCAGCCTCTCTTGTCTCGAAGACTTAAGAAACGCATCTTGGCGGGGCCACATGGAAGGGTTGTCAGTAGCCATGTGGGTGTGACCCTCCTGTCTCTGAATTCACTGAATTCACCGGTAGCTCGCGTGGCTGCGTCTCCCCGCTCACGGGCAGCGGGTCACTACCTCTCAGTGGCGGCTCTGTGCTCAGTGTCCAGGTCATCCTCCACTACGTTGCCCAGCCCATCTTTCTCAATGCAGGCATGCACGGCCTGCAGCACAATACGAAGCCGTCGGTCCAGAGCCTCCAGGTGCAGCTGGTATAGCACAGGCGCCACCCGGTCCCGCTGCAGGGACTCAGCCATCAGCAGGCTCAGCTTGTACTCCTCCCTGGCCAACAGCTGCAGCCGCAGGTAGGTGGACTTCCTGATCCTGCCGGATGGAGAGGTCAGTGGGGGTGGCCATGGACTCAGGTGGGGGGAGGGAGTTAGACAGGCAGAGAGAGAAACAGAGACAGAAAGAGGCAGAGAGACAGACAGAGAAACAGAATCAGAAAAAGAGACACACACACAGAAGAGAGACAGTCAGACAGAGACCAAAAGACAGAAGCAAGACAGAAAGAGGGACAGAGAGACAGAAAGAGAGAGACAGAGAGGCAAAGAGAGACAGAAAGAGAGACAGGGACACACAGAGAAATAAAGTCAAAGAGAGACACAGAGAGAGGCAGAGACAGAGACAGAAACAGAGACAGGTGGAGTCAGACAGACACAGAGGAGACAGAGAGATATGAGCCACAGAGGAAGGCAGAGACAGAGAAAGAGAGCCCACAGAGAGGCTCAGGATAAAACCCCCACTGGACACCATGCTGGGTGGCCCTGCCTGGCAAGGCTGGCCTTCTCTCCTGGGGTACTCTCCCTAACTCGATGACCTCTGTGTCAGGCAGATGCTGACGTTTCCTGAGGGGGTCATAGACCACTATGCCCATACACCTACTCCAGCTATGAAAGGAGGGACAGGATTGAGACCCTCAAGAGTGGCCAGATAGAGCCTGACAGTTGTGGTCAGGAGGATGGGTTCCTGTGCCCAGGCCAGTAACCTGCTGGGCCCGGGATCTTCACAGGAGGGTCCTGGTTGGCAAGGAGCTCATTCCATGACCAGGAGGACTTGGGGCTGGGTGGGAACTGGAGCAGTGGGGCAGGATTTGGGGAGGTGACTCGGAGATGTGGATGCCTGTGCAGAGATGGGAATCAGGCAGGTGCCACCTGACCGGTTCCTCATGGTGATAGCTGGGGGCTACAAGGAGGAGGGGGCACTATGGGAAGGAGGGCAGGGAGGGCGGCTGTACCTGCAGCACTGCTGTAAAGGCACCAGGATGGAAAGCTCGTCGTGTGAATATTTTCCAAACCTGTCAGAGGAAGCACAGCCATCAGGGTCTCTTGTGAGCAGGAGGTGGCAGTGCTCCACTGCGCATCCACATGGGCTCTAGATGTGGGGTGGCCTCTTGCCTAGGCCCAGTTTAGCTGTACTGGTGTCTTTTCAGGGGCCATGTGACTGCATATGGACAATCCAGGGGCCGAGCACTGACACGCAGCGTGCAGCACAGCTTGGAAGGAACATTACTCACTCCCCACCTTGCTGGGTCTGGGTCACCTTCCCCCCACACAGCCTCTACCTGCTCCTCAGCCCTGCTCATCCCTCAGTTACCCCAAGGTGGTAGGGATTCAGGAATGGGGTGGCCCTCCTTTATGCGCGAGGCTGGCGCCCCGTGTCTGGCTGGGCCCATGTGGGGCATCGGCTTACAGGGCTGTGGGGTGAGAAGCACTCACCCTCTCCCGTTGTCCAAGTGGATGATGAACGTGTCATTCCCGAACTTCTCGAAGGTCTCGTAGTGATGGCGATCCATGTTTCCTGCAGAGACAGCAATGTGCTCAGTGGCCTTTGACCCCCAGGCCCTTCCCTTTCCACCCAGCAGAACCTCAGCCCAGGCCCCGTGACCCCCGAGCCCAGGCAGTGTCCCATGTCAGCTCTGGTGTCATGGTCAGCACAGGGTGAAGATCCTGGGCCTGGGCTGCTGGTCATACCCATGAGAAAGTCAAAGATCGTCATGTCCATGATATCCAGGACTCGGTGGCCACTGTCATAAGGTGGTGTCTGCTTCACCTCCTCACAGTAATCGGGGTCCACTTCCCACCTGCAGGGGGCAGTGTGAGACAATGGGTCTTCCTCTGTGTGGTCAGGAAGATCCAGGCTGAATTCTGCGTGCTGCCCAGCTCAGGAGGGCACAGAAGCCAGGGGGCTTCTGCTCCAGAAAGAAGACTCAGTAGAGACCACTATATCACTGTGGATTTTGAGGCTGTATTAATAGGAGTATGGGGCCATGGGTGATCACAACACTCTACCTGCCCCCCATGAATCAGGCCTGGAAGCTACCATCAGCTCTGGGTGCATGGTTTTGGAGGGTCACTGCTGAGAATCAGTGCCCACACATCCTGTGAGACATACTGACTGAAGGAGCAGGATATTCCTTCTCCCAAGGATGAGAGGGGTAGGGAGGGACATCTGATCTCAGCACCTAAGAACATGTTCGAGGAACCCTGAGGACAGTCTGCACTTCCGAGGTTTCTGGTTCTCACGCAGAGAAGTCCTTTCCAGCCACGTAAACACAGATTCCTCCCTGCCCACCCCTTACCCTTGCCACTCATCCCTGCTCTGTGACCCTGAACAATCTGAATCCTGGCTCTCGCGCCCAACACCCATACTCACTCGGCTTTCTTGCGCTTGTGGTAGGAGCGCCGCCAGGGGTTTCGCCAGGTCTTCCTTTTGGCCAGCGACAGGTCCGGCAGGAAGGCCGCCAGTGAGCCCTCTATCTGGTCAGGTTTCCCGCACAGCGCGTGTTCCGTGGAGCAGTAGTAAGAACACTCCCCGTAGAAGCAGATGTTGTTGGCTGGGGGCAGAGATGGCCAGGTCACTTGCACTGGCCCAGTGGTATCCTTCTGTTCCTGGTCAGGCCTATCACCATGTGTCATCCAGCAGCCCCTCCAGTCCTCACCTGACCTTGGTGACCACCTCCAACCCCTAGACCTACAGCAAGACTTCCAAAGCCACACAGCCTCACCTTCAGAATCAAGAATGGCACCCTAAAGTGATTCTAGAGTCAACATTCAATAGCTCAGAAAATGATTCTTGCTATGAAGAAAAGGAAGAGATTGTTCACAGAATGGAGAAAATACTTGCAAATCAGACATCTGATGGGTAGCTAGTAATCAATATATGTAAAGAACTCTTACAATTCAATAATAAAAAGAACCCAGTTTATAAATGGGCAAAGGACTCAAATGGACCTTTCTCCAAGGACCCTCAAATGGCTAATGAGCCCACGAGAAGGTGCTGTCAGCATCACTCGTCATCAGAGAAACAAATGGAATCTGCAGAGGTTCCACCTCACACCCACTATAGTGGTTTTGATCCAAAGACCACACAATAGCAGGTATCAGTGAGGACGTGGAGCATAGAAAGCAGGAGAGAGTGAAGTGGGGTGGTCATGGGAAGACAGTCTGGTCCCTCAAATCCCACTAGAGCATCACCAGGGTACCACCCTCAGTTCCTGGGTACAAGGAGTGAAGATGGGATTCCAGAGACTCTTTATATGCTCAACAGGGAACAACAGACCTGGGGTTGGCCTGACCAAGTGCTCATCAGCTGACCAATGGACTTCCAAAATGCAGGATTTGCAGACCACAAAATACCATTCGACATTGGCTGAGGTTGGGAGCCCAGTGAGATGCCAGGTTGGAAAGACAGGGTGTTGTTGGGAGCAGGAGAATCCACAGAAGCAGAGTGGACAGACTGCTAGGAGCTGGGAGGATCTGGGTGTTGCCAGCAGACATAGCTTTCTTTCTGGGGTAAGGGAACCATCCTGGACCTGGATGGTGGTGAGTATCCATGCTGCATCATGCTTGTGACAAGACCACTGAATCATAATTTAAAGTGATAAATTTTATGCATCCTGTGTTGTATCGCAGTTAAAACAAACTATTTAAAACTGCAAGTCTTTGCTGTCTGGCAGCTTCCTGGCTCATGATTTTGCTGAAAGAGGTTACCATCTCACTCTGATCACAGATCCCAAGATGATCTCTTCCCACACTTATTTATTGGCTGAATCTGTGTTTTCATGCTTTGGTTTGTTTGCTGTGCCCCAGCACCTTCCCACCCATGCCTACGTCCAGCTGTGGTGTCCCCCGAGCTACACACCCGGGCCTTTCCAGGATCTCCCTGAAGTTCCAGGAGCCTTCAGACCACAAGGCAGGACCAAGTGACTCAATGCAAGCTCTGCCAAGCACTTCTAGAGTGCAGGAGCAGGACAGAGTCCTAAGGAGCAGGCCCAGGGTGCTGACTGCTTCCCACAGCTGGACCACACAGCAAGCCTGGCTGGGCATTACCTGCCTATCTCTCCGCCTTGCAGGCCTCATCATCCATCCAGCATCACATAATTACCACAGGAAGAATGATCAAAGAGAGATCAGCCTGCTGTCACCCTGGGGCTGATATAGGTTAATCGGCAGCCTCTGGCGAGCAGAACAGCCAACGCTAAGCAACAGCTTCATTTCCAGGAGGAAAATCTTTATCCCATCTCTCAGTGGCTGGAGCCATGAAATCGATTGCTCTAACAGCCTCCTGCCCTCGCTGAGCTGGTTTAGATGGTATCTATCAAAAGGCAAGGGCATTTCACAGCTCAGCTCCTTCTGCATCAAACACAAATCTTGCGTCTACAGGGGCACCCAGGGTGTGGCTGGTGGCTCCAAAGACAAAGGTCCCCTTCTGGTTGTGCAGTGATAGTCAAGTATACTTCTGCAGGGCTGAGGGTCACATGAGGTAACTGTGAGGGCCTTAGGTGTATGGACAGCCCTGCCAAGCAGATGCCAGGCATCTGGGGAGCAGGGAGCTTGTGTCCTGCTCCATTTCAACAAAAAAGAACAGAGAAAGCCAGTGTCCAGCCAGCTGAGAGAGCCAGCACATTCCTGCTGGTCCTCTGAAGATGGGCCAGTCAGCTCCCTGGTCTTGACCTGAAGCCACGAGTGTCTGCTTTCTTCAGGGATCTAGATCTGAATGGCACCCGGTCGAGTACCCAAAGCACCCCTCCAGGGTCAGAATGGTGGCAAGGCATGTCTCTGAGGATGTCTGCCCTCCTTGCCCTTGTCTCACAGTGCTGTGGACCCTGGTGAACATGCTGTCATATGGGGTGGTGCCCCAGACACTGGCAGGCCCCTTTTTGGAAACCCCACTAGCCTCCAAAGTGCCCGAGCACTGGACGTGGGTTGTAGACAACACAGTGCAATGAACCAGGCCAGAGAGGCAGCAAGAAGAGCCAGTTCATTGGCAGGCAAAACCCCAGCTCAGGGCCTCTGTCCTTCCCTGGCAGGCAAAACCCCAGCTCAGGGCCTCTGTCCTTCCCTGGCAGCACCCACAGGCATGTTCACCTCATAGAAGACTACAGGTGATCAGAATGTCTGTGACATGTCCCTCAGAACTCATTGAGAAAGGTGCGTGGCCTGTGAGAGCTGCGGCCTTGCAAATGTGGGTTCTCACCAGTCCTGCCTCTCAGCCAGGTAGCTTTAGAGCCCCCTGAACGTGGCTTCCTGAGTCCTGATCTGTACCGGGTTACCTCTTCCCTGAGCTGCTTCTTTCTGACTGTGGCTCAGAGGCTGGAGGGCAGCTGCCCGGATCAAAGCCTCCTCAAGCGCACTTGGCTCTGGAGAAGCAGCGATGGCAATTTTGGCATCGGATGCGTTGGAAGTGTCAGCAAAGCAAAAACATTTTGTTTTCTAAAATGAGACCAAAACTGGCTCCTGAGAGCCCGCTGCTTCCCAGGTGGGGGTTCTGAAGGCTTTCAGAAGAGATCCACTGACGCAGACCAGTCAGGGGCACAGAGCTAGGGAGGCTGTGCTCAGAAGTGACCAGCAGGGACCGGGAATGGCTGGCCAGGTGAGCCACTGCTGCCAAGGAGGCTTCTCAGGGTTTCACAGGGGCTGGCAACCAGCAGGGAAAATGTGATCTTGATCAGGAGCCAGAGACCAGGGATGGGGAGGCCGCAGGGCCAGCTGAACAGAGAGAGATTTCACGGTGGCACCACTACTGGCAGCCTCAGTGGCCTCACCATGGGGGACTCCAGGAACTGACAGCTCCCCGCTGAGGGAGGGAGGGATCCCAAAGGTCACCCAAAGTGGGTGTGGAGTATCTTAATTTGTCTGCTTACGCGAAGAATTGGCTCAGTCTTTGCAAAAACCAAAATAGGACAAAAACAGAAAAAAGAATCTATAAACCTTCACTGTTACGAAATGACCTAAAAATACCAGGAGCTGGGCACAGCACACTGCATAGGAGGCCTCCCTTGGGCCCTCCTGCCTGGGAAGAGGGGTTGGCGATGGGAGGTGGAAAGCACAGCCAGTGTTCCCATGCCGTGGACTCTCCAATGGTGCCGGCTGCTGGCTTCCCTATCCATGCTGTTGGCAGGAGCCTCTTGTTGGGAGGATTTGGGGTGCTTTCAGCTGGGTCCATGGCTATGGGGCACCCAGCATGCCCTTACCCACTGCCTGGACACTGGCTTGACTGTGTCAGAGTGGTGACATCATACATCTGTATGGCCTTAGCTAGGTCACATGCTCAGTGTAAGGGGATGTGCTGACTCCCTCCTCCCAGCCCCGTGACTGCATTTATTTGTCCACCCCGGAGAGCTCAGGAACCAGACCTAGTCTAGAACAAGGGCATGGGTCCAGGTGGAAGACACTGGGAATTGCCAAGCTGGGTGGGGGCTCTTGAGAAAAGGAAAGCTATTCTCTAACATGTTCTCAGCCTTTGAAATACATTACTTACTATACAGGGCAAAATAAAAATTATGAAAGGCAATAGACAAGCAGCAGCCAGGCATCTGATGGCAGATGGGGACCAGGGGGTCAATTTCTATAGGCAATGGGGACACAGAGTGGGGCTGGACAGTGCTGGGATGATGGGACTGGAGGAAAATTATCAGGGCCACGGCTGGGCAGGGGGTGGGGTGCACAGGAGCCCTAAATGCCAGGATCCCAGCAGCAAGCCCTGGTCCCAGGCTGGGGGCCAGTTTTGGCTCTCCAAGGGGAAGCCCAGGCAGGGATGATTCTGGGGATGGTCAACCCTCCAAGATCCTCCTGACACACAAGCTCTTAATCAGCCCCTTCTGCCAGCTCCAGGGATCAGGGGGACATTTTTCTCTGCTTCTCCAGGGATTTCTGTCCTATTTTTCTCTTATGAATGGTTTCTGAGAGAGGAAGAGACCATATGAATTGCTGGGTGAGTACTGGGTGAGGAAAACAGAGCTTAATTAAATCAGGGGTTCACAGCCCGGAATTCTGACAACTCAGCGAATGCAGTTAAGAAAGAGGGCAGAGTGTATCAGTCTGAAACGTCTACGTGAAATGAGCTTTTAGGTGGGGCTTTTATGCCCAGCACACCCCAAGACACAGCCTCCTTGAGGACTGTTGCTGGAGTCATGTGAAGAGCTACGAGGCTCTACCTGTCAGTATACCTGCCTGTGGAGACCACTGGGCACCTTTGGGAGTGAAAGGGGCTCCTCCGAGCCCCGCATGCAGGTTGTACCATTGGCAGGGGCTCAATATGGGCCACCACCAGGAAGGATTCAGAAGTGGACAGGTCAGTGGAGTCTTGAATGTACATTTAAGTAGCCTGAGCAGATGAGTAATCAAATAGTGGGTGACAGTAGCCATAACCCTGTGCCTTGCATGGGGAAGTGGTCAGTGACATGGCCACACCCACACGGCCTCTGGCAGCTGGTTAACCTGTGGGGCAGTTGGGCACTCAATGATAGGGTACATGCTTGGCCCCCATGAAGGGCCGCAAGCTGAGCACCAGTGTTCTGTAGCAACTCCTTTCAGCAGTGGCCCAGGCCCCAGCTACCGGGGAGGGTACCTGGAGAGATGAAGAAGGTTCTCCACAGCTTCTTGTCCCGAGTCACATCCCGGATCTCCTTGGTCATGTTGACCATCCTGCCAGCCACTGGTGGGACTCGGCGGAAGTCAAGGATCCTGGCAAAACAAGGGCAAAGAAAAGGCTCTTTACCTTCTAAGCCTGATTTTCAGTGGCCTTGGTGGAAGCCAGGGAGCCACGTCCACCTGCCTCAGTCTAACCCAGCTGTGGCTCTGTCAGCACGGACGGTTAGAATGTGGTAGCTGCCTTGTGCACCAGCTTCGGCCCTGCCAGGCACCCACTCACTGAAACATGCCCTCATTTCAGGGCTAAATTTAAAATGGAACTAAATTAAATTAAACATTCTTAATGGAGCTCTTTCTGAGTGGTGCCGCATGCACGGCCACTTTCTTAATTAAATGGAGATGCTGATGTGAGCTCTTCCTGCTGACACAGGATGTCGAGATGGGCTGGCTGGAGAGGGGCCAGGCAAGGAGGGTGGGGTTCGACCCCACCACTTCCTCCTGCTCTCCCATTTCAGGTGCCCCCATGAACTGCCTATTTTATTAATAAATGCCCTGAGGGGCCATATGTCTTATGCAGTGGCCTTACTAGCTTGAGGCCACCGCTGTCCTTTTCTTTGTCTTTGGTGGCCAAAGTGGTGAAGGTGTTGGAAACAGAGACTCCTGGGGATTTCCACAATCACTATGTAAGGTCTGTGATCTCACTCAAGTCACCTGGGATCCTGTGAGATGCAGATTTTGGGGTTCTGGGTCAGCCTGGCACTGCACTCTAACCAGCCAGGTCCATGGTGTGGCTGGGGTGGTGAGTGGGGCGCTCTGAGCCGAGACCTGTGTCTGGCCAAGCAGGTTCGGAAGCCTGAGGGCCAAACCCACTGTGGGCTGTGGCATGGGAGGGACTCTGTCCTCCACACCCTGCTGATCCAGGGGCAGAGCCAAGAATCACCCCTTCTGGGCACAGAAATAGATGACTGTCACACGGTGTGTATGTCAGCTACTCCACCCACCCAGCAGCAAGGGGTCAACTGGAACTTGCTATTAATCATGTCCCATTGTGTCTGAGCTGCCCCTTGGGAGATAAGTGTCAGGGGACTCTCACTCTGCCCCCTCAGGGAAGCCTTCATGCACTTCCAGAGCAGCTCATACCATGACTCTCCGTTAAAATGCACAGCATGGAACCTTCCACCCTTCCCCACTTTGTTCCCAGCTTCCATAACCCACCATCCGTCCTGGCCACTCCTTGCTGGGGTGGGTGAGGAACAGAGGGCAGGGTCTTTGCCCACTAAGGACAGGGCTCCAGGCAGGTCATTCCCTTGGGGGCTCAGTGTTTTGGCTGCCTGGTGGGGTGTGAAGTCTAACCCACAGGCTGCTCCAGATGGAAACCCCAGAGATGGCGGCTGTGAGGTGATTATGATGGGATGTGCTGTGGACCCCAAGGCCAAGGGCCTCACCTGTCCAGGTGGAAGGCGGCAATCTCTGCATTGTGCCTCTCGTAGTCAGAGAAGTAAAAGAAGTCAGGGGGTGTCTCCTGTTCCCTCGTTTGCCTAGAGAAAATGGGGCAAAAAGAAGACAGATCTGTCACTGAGAAAAGCTCCAATCAAGGAGGCATTTGTGACCTGCCGCCTTCCAGAGCTGACTTATATTTTAGAGAACTGTGTTAATCAGGGTCACAGCTGTCATTAAAAGCTAAAGTATATCCATACAGTCAAACATGTTATACCTAAAAAGCACTCAGTACCCAGGTCTCATCATGGCCTCCTGATTTGCTGTGTTTTACTGTCTTGTCTGCTCTCTGGTTATTCACACCCTGTGGCTGCAAGTGCATGGTCTGGTGAAGGTGCAACTCCCCAGTCCACGTTCAGTGACCTCAGCGAGCAGCTCACCCTCAGCTATAAGTAGAAGTTCATACCAGAAAAACTGGCTGTCAACCTGGCCCCCAGGAGCTGTGCAGCACAGAGCTATCAGCCCACTGCCAGCCAGACTATGCCAATGCCAATGGGCAAAGGGAGTGCCTGCTTCTAAGTGAAGTGTATGGCGGGGGGGGGGTGCATTTTCGGGGAGGGTAGCCCTGCAGCAGAGTAGGTTGGACTAGGCCCCCTTGTTGGACATAGGCTTCTCCAAGGTGTGGGCCTGGGACTGGGTCTGGTGGAATAAACCATCAGATTGGCCCTGTTGCCATTAGTCCACTGGTGGTAAGGATACTCTCCACCACCCCCGGCTCTTTCTGAAGCTTGCCATCCTCTACTGGGCTCTGGGCCTCAGTTTCCCTGATCTCCCACCCAGCTCCTGAGCTGAGTCATGACCGCCTGCTGTTTCCTGCACTTGACCCCTTATCCTTAGCCTCTTTCCTGTGTTCAGGTTGTTCTCTCATTCTGGAATAGCCTTCCCTCTGAGACACCAAATGGCTAAACCAACTTTTCCAACTATGTGTCTTACAGACAACATGCCCAGGACTTCCAGTACATGGGTGTCCTCAGAGAAGCTGAGAGTTTGGGTAACAGAGCCAGCCCAGGACTCTTCTTGGGGTCCCAGGAGTGTGCATTCACATGCAAGGACCCTGTCCATGGTGGTGGGAAATAGCAGTTCTTTGCTGAATAACAGGACCCCTCCCATGGTGCTGGAGCTCCTACACACCCAACCTGGACTCATGGTACATGGTGAGTGCAACCTGGTCCCAGGGCCTAGGCCTTACTCTGCACTGGGCTTGCTGTGTGTGCAGCTGGGCCACTCTCTCTCTCTCCCTCTAGGACTCCTAGACTCAGCACTCAGGGCCTCCCACGGTCCCTGGAATTAATGCCAGCATCTTTCATCCCTGCATCTGGCTGGGGACATGAAGCCACAGGCAGGAAAGGCCAGTCAGTGTCACTCTGCAAACATGGATGGTCTCTAGTGCCTTGGGCTCTAGGATGTTTAGCAGACTTCAGAGGAGGCAGGACCCGTTACAGGGCTCTGGTGAGACCCTGTCATGTGGGGTTTGACCTTAAGACTCTGGAAACAAAACATATCATTGCTCAACATGTGTGGGCCAGTGATGATTCTGGCATGAAATTTGGGCCCCCTGGGTGCTGCTGCTGTCCCCACCAAGAACAATGCGTGGCTTCCAGTGGGGAAGGATAGAGTTCAGGCTGCAGGCGAGGGCCATAGCTGTGCCAGGTGGTTCCTTGAACATCACTTATCTCAGTGACGGATTTCTTCCTCCACCTTTCCAGGAACCTGTGTGTAGCACTGGTGCTGGAGACAGACTATTCCTCATGACCCTCAGTGGTTCCCGTATGGACAGGCACCCTGCAAACTGAGGGCGCACTGGTCTGACCACGTGCCAAGCTGAGGTCACACAGTCCTTGTGCTTCCTCGGTCCACTCAGTGGAGGAGGCTGACCATCTGGCAGCCGCTGCAAGTAACACTTGAGGACGGTGTGCTGTCTCCACTGGGCAGGGCTCCTGAGGTTCGAGAGAGTCTGGACTTTGTGGAGTCTCTTGGTTTTTAAATGGGGGCAAATGATTTCATTTCCTTATAGCTCTGTGGGTCAGACTGAGCCTGTCAGTCCCCTCACTGGTCCAGCTGTGAGCTTTTGAACAGTGGCCCCTGTGCTCAGCTCAGAAGCGCTGGCTTTCAGCAAGGCTGTTCTCAGAACACTGGCTCTTCTGGAAAAAAGGTAAGGACTGAGGCAAAAGTTCCCTTCCTTGAGCTTCCTGGAGCCTCAGGCTAACAGGTGCTTCTGGAACAGCTCACACAGGATGCTTCCCTGCTCTGCCACAGGTTGGTTTAGGTTGCTGTGGAAAGCAGAATGATTACTTTTGGGAGATTGTGGCCTTAACTCATGGTTAGGTGGGCAGAGCTCACTGTTGGCCCTGGGTACAGCTCATGTAAGAACAGCGCCAGGACCTGTAGCAGGGACTCTCCGGGCATCTCTTTGGGTCTAGCTGACACCCCCCCCCCAAATCTGGAAAACAAGGGCCTGCAGTCTCTTTGGGGTCTACTTGTGAGATCTCGGCCTCACCCTCCACCCTGTGTGGGCTGGCACAATCTCCCTCCAGGATGGCCCTGCTGCTCTGCACTGACCCATGTAGCAGTACTGCCCATGCAAAAAATGGCTAGAGTCAGGAAGGAGCCAGCTTTTAACTCTTAATTTAATTAATTTAAATGTAAGTAAGTGCATGTGGCTAGTGGCCATGTGGCAGGCAGGGCTCTGTGATAGCCTTTCTGTGACTTTGGCTTGCCCTCCCTCCCAGCCTGCCTTCCCCTGCTTCTCTGGCTACCACCTCTGGGAAGGTCCCCCGGAACCACAAGTTCTTTCAGGGCCTCTCCTTGTCTGTATGAGGGTACACATCCCCATCAGAGACAGCATACATGATGGTGGTCGGTGACCTTTACTGAACCTATCTTAGTCCTGCTCAGCACACAGGTCTGCGGGTGTTCACCAGGCCAAACCCATGTCTGTGGTTACATCTCAGCTCTGCCACTCTTGGGCCATGAAACCCTCCCCTCACCCAGACTGGAGACCAAGCCCTAGAGGGAGAATTAGAACAGCTGCCTCTGGGGCAAGAGCCTTGACATGAGTTGTACACGGGAGGGGCACACTGTGTGTGCTGAGTCTCCACCTGTCCTATCCATGCAAACCAAATGCCTGCGTGGAGCTCTGCATGTCTGGGCCCTTGGAGTCTGCTCCTTATGATCACAAAGCAGCAGTGACTCTGGGACACTAAGATGGGCAAGAGAGGCCCAGGGAGGACAAACCTAGTGATGTTTACCCAAGGTCCCAGGTGGGGCTGGAGCAGGATTCAGTGTGGTGAAATTCTGTCTACATACATGCACACAACTGTATACACACTAATTTGTGTGTGTGTGTGTACACACATGCACAGTATCTTAGAACAGAGCTGTTTGGAGGATCTTGGAGGGAGAGGGAAGAGATTAGGTCTCATTCCCACTGATTTTTCCTTCACAGAAGGGCTGGGAAAGAACATTAGTGACCATGAAAAGGTAGCTGATTTTCTGGCTGTAAAAACAGGTACAGCTCCAGCAGATGACCAGTGTGCCTTCTGCACTCAACTGCACAAATTGGGTTACTTCAATAGTCCATCTGGTGGCTCCCATATGACCTATGCTCTGCTTTAGTTAAAGGTAGCCTTCAGAGGATGCGGGGAGCAGCCAATGGTTCTGTCCACTCCCAGCAGGGCAGGGCTGAGGGAATGGGATGGCCCCAGCCATACACCAAATGCATCCACAGGATGCTGGGCCCCTCACTCCCCGGGACTTAGCCAGCTCCAGGGCTCCTCCATGGGTGGAAACACTCTTGTCCCAGTAGATCTTGAGTCTGCTGGGGCTTCTCTGGCTCTGGCTGCCTCTCTCAGAGAGCACACCTGACAGCCAGCCTGGTCCCCACTCTGCCACGATGTACATTTCCCTTTGGGCCTCTACATAGCCAGAGACAGACACAGCTCACTTCAAAGAGCAAGGCCTTGGCACAGGGACATTGGGCAGCATTGTTCCCTGTAGGAACAGCAGGAAAGGCCTGGGGGCAGGAGTGTCCTGTCCTGGGCTTCTCATGCTCAGCCAAAGACCTATTTCAGGACTGGTATTTCATGGTCAGGGACTAGCAAGGAGTTGATGTGGACACAGAGTGGCCTCCATCTACCTGCAGCCTTTAGCTCATGCCCATGTAGTCACCTCTGCATATGACATGCACTCACAGCTGGATGTGCAGACATTTGCACAGGGTGCTAAACAGGGAGCAGCTCTTTTTGCCAACACCCTGGCCTTTCTCTTTCTCTCCCTCCCACTTCCCAGCCCTCCTAGTAGGTAACACATATGACATCCAGGTGCCTCTGAGCCCTTAGGCTCTGGAAAAAATCCAGATAGTTCCTTGAGGCCTTTCTGACCTGGCCCAGGACAGCTCCTAGTTGAAAGACACTGAGTTCTGAAAAGCAGGCAGGTGTCCTAGGCTAGTGGCAAGGTACTCTGGGGCCTCTTGCTCCTGACGTGTCCATACGCACTCTAACCCAGATACTGGCTGCCCTCTTTGCCCACCTCAGGAAACGCCAGCAACTGTCAGAGGCACCAAGAATGTACCCTACCCTGAGGAGGGGCATCTGATGTTTAGAAGAGGTTGGGGGGATTCTTGTCCTCTTCTTATATGAACCACCCACCTTTGTGGAGCACATCAGTTCCTGGAACATCAAGGCCCCTCACTAGACGAGATTCACAGAGAGGATATGTGTGTCATGCTCTGCACATTCCATAGCTCCAAATCCTGACTCTGAGGCCCGTAGTCACCCATATGGTGGCCCATAGCCTCCTACCTCCTGCTCTAAGGCATGAACCACCACATTGGCTGCCGGGTCACCGAGAAGCTGAGCGCCTTGCTGGAAGTTGCTCCTTGCAAATGAACTCCCTGGTGTTTACAGTGCAGTGAGGCTGGGAGTGACCACAATCCACTGTTCAGGGACATGGGCCACCCACCAGACCTTACCTACATGCAGGACTCTCCCTAGATCCTCTGCAATGGCCCTGCTTCATGGCTGTAACAAGTGCTGCCACCACT